GCCGCCGGTGCGCCCCGGTGCCCGTTCGCTTGGCGCTGGGAACTTCGGGGGGTTCGCTGGATTATGTCCCTGCTGAGCCGGTCTGCGGGGAGCTGAGCCAGGGGAGGAAGAATGCGGGTCTATTTAATGGTCTTCTGCCTTATTTGCTGCACCGCGAACGGGCAAGTAGTGTATTCCATCGCCGAGGGAACGGAGCGCGGAGCGTCTGTTGGGAACGTAGCGAAGGATTTAGGAATAGATGCAGCTACACTTTCGGCTCGGAAATTTCGCATGATCACCAGTTCAAGTAAGCAATATTTTAATATAAATGCAAGCACGGGGGCTTTGTCTGTTAACGAGCCCATAGACAGAGAGCAGCTTTGTGAATTAAAGTCTGCCTGTCTTCTGAATTATGAACTCGTGTTAGAAAACCCTCTAGAGCTTTATAGGATGGAATTTAAAGTCTTGGACATAAATGATAATTCCCCCAGCTTTCCCTTAAGTGAATATCATATAAATGTGCCTGAGTTCCTGGCACCTGGGGCACGGTTTACACTCCCCAATGCCCAAGATCTTGATGAAGGTACCAACAGTGTCCAGAATTACACTCTGAGCCCTGATGAGCATTTCCATTTGGAAATGCAGACACGCGGGGATGGGAGTGAATATCCCGAACTGGTGCTGAAGAAAGCCTTAGACAGGGAGCAGCAAGCCGCTCACAGACTTGTCCTTACAGCCAAAGATGGTGGGAATCCTCCAAAGTCCTGTGATGTCCCGGTCATTGTGACTGTGCTGGATACCAATGACAATGCACCAGAATTTGAGCACTCGGTCTACAGGGCGAGTATCTTGGAAAACTCCCCCAGTGGCACTTTGGTAGTGCAAGTGCACGCCACGGACTTGGATGAAGGTCCAAATGGAGAGGTCAGGTATTCTTTTAGCAATACTACTTCTGCTGATCTACAGCGAATGTTCTTAATCCACCCCCACACTGGGGAGGTGACAATCAGTGGCGTTTTAGCTGTTCAGAGACCTCTCCTCGAGATGCTGATTGAGGCAAGGGATAACGGGGCATTTGGCATGTCCAGCACAGCTAAGCTGCTGGTGGAAATCACTGATGTGAACAATCATGGCCCAGAGGTAACAATTACATCCCTTTCCAGTCCCGTTCCTGAGGATGCTGTTCCTGGCACAGTGATAGCTCTGTTGAGTATTACGGATAAGGACCCTGGGGAGAACGGGAAAGTAACCTGCCAGATCCCTGATAATATTCCCTTCCAGTTAAAGCCTTCCCTTGAAAACTACTACAGCCTGGTCACCAGTGGGCTTCTGGACCGAGAGCTGATCAGTGAGTATAACATCACAATTACTGCCATGGACTTGGGGTCTCCACCCATCACCACTCAGAAGACCATTTGGGTGCAGATTTCTGATGTGAATGATAACCCCCCTGTCTTCAGCGCTGATACATTTGATGTGTTTGTGGAGGAGAACAATCCACTTGGTGCTTTTCTCTACCAGGTCTCAGCATCTGACCCTGATATAGGGGAGAACGGACGGGTGTCTTACATGCTCAGGAATTCCACAGTTGCGGGCAGTGCCCTGGCCAACCTTTTGTCTGTGAGCTTGGCCAACGGGAGCATCTATGCAAAATGTGCCTTTGACTTTGAGCAGCTTAGGAGCTTCTATTTCCAAGTGGAAGCCAAGGATAATGGGTCACCAGCCTTGAGTGCTGCCATAACTGTGAATGTTTACATCTCAGACCAGAATGACAATGCCCCAGCCATCCTGTATCCCACCAGCCAGAATGGCTCAATAGCTGTGGAAATTGTGCCCCGCCTGGCTGATGAGGACTACCTGGTGACCAAAGTAGTGGCAGATGATGAGGACAACGCGCAGAATGCCTGGCTCTCCTATCACCTGGCCCATTCCTCTGACTCCACCCTGTTCCACTTGGCACCGCACTCTGGTGAGCTGCGCACCACACGCTCCATGCGCTCCACTGACTTCCTCAAGCACAAGGTGGTTGTGGTGGTGCGGGACCATGGGGATCCGCCACTCTCCTCTACTGTGACGGTGGGCATCCTGCTGGCTGACACCCTGCCTCAGGCACTGCCAGACTTTGATGACAGTGGGGAGCCACCACCACTGCTCAGCGCTACAAACATCTACTTGATCGCTTCCCTTGCCTGCGTTTCCTGCATCTTTGCAGCATTCCTCCTCTTTCTTGCCATTGCGCGGCTGTGCCGCTGCCGGACTTGCTGCTGCAGTGGCTGCTGCTGCCCAGCTGATGAGTATGAAAAGTATCGCTACAGTGTGCACATGCTTCCCAGCTCCCACCTCCCACCAGACATGCTGGAGGTCACCGGTGTGGGTAAACTGACTCATACCTACTTGTACAGGGCATCTGTAGGTCTTGGGCCTAGTAACAGCAGCATCCCAAACGGTGATGCTGGGAATGTTCCCGGCAGCTCAAGGTTACAAGTGCCAGGACCCTGCATCCAAGTGCAGCAGGTCCAAAGCGATCGGTTGAGTGCTGTCCTCGTGGTAAGTACTTCTTGCTTTCACTTTTTTTTTTTTTTTCCCAAGCACATGGCCTTGCATCTGTCCTGGGTTGCTGTCAGTGCGGAAGAAGGTACTGAGGGTATTTGCAGGAGAGCAGGTGTCATTTCATGGCACCTGGAGGAAACTTCAGTTCCTTTTATATCTTCCCTAAAGCCAAGATCTCTTTGGGTGAAACATGGTCGTGGGATGACAAAAGTGATCTTTTTTTTTTTTTTTCTTACAAATATTTAGGACCTTCAGACATAACTGAAGGTAAAGCAGATATAAGTGAAAATTCAATAACTTGCAAGCCAAACCACTGCCTTTGGATAGCTAACTAGGGGCATGATAAGAGTCCATGGGTGGTTCTAATTTACACTGGGTGGTTCTAATATACACTGCATGGAGCCCTTGATTTTTTTTTTTTAAATTATTTTTTATTTCCCCTTGCCTCAGTTCCTGAGATATTTTTGTTGAGGGGTGAGTAGTTTGCTGAGCCAAGCTGCTGGTTTACGATGCCCAAGGTAAGCCTATGGTAGAGTAGCAGAACTTCAATACCCAGCACCTCCTTAGGAAATGTAATTTGTGTTGCTCATCTCTCTTTCCAAGCAATCCATAGGTTTTGTGAATCTAAAAGAATTCTCTTCTGAGCCTCTGACCAAGCTGGCTTCTTCTCAGTAGTGATATGGGTGACTTTGCAGGAGAAAATATCTTGCTTTGATCACAGTTTAGGGCTACAAGGTGGGATGGGTCTGCAGGTCTGATCTGCTGGCTGTTGCTGTGTCACTTGTCCAAGATTCAGTTTTCTTATGCGCCAAATAACACTGGTTTGCATTTTTAATAGTCGCCTTTCTAGTTTTGTGATGTTTTGCCTGAAGACTGTCAAATTTCCTCAGTATGCGTGACGGTAACTTAATCACCGTTGGCTCTGTCCAGGCCAGTACTCTGTGGTGAGAGCTATCCCAGGTGTTTCCAAGGCAATAATAAGGATCCGTGTTAAGACAGACGTGGTATAATCCTGCAGTTGTTTTTATCCTAATTTATGGTGATTAGAGGTTGTCCTAAGCCTGTAACCATTAGGTTTGTTTTAATTTTTGAAATTGTTATTGTACCTTTAAATCCATATAAATGGCCAGCCCCTTTTCGACCCCTGCTGCAAGGGTAGCTTTGGCAGCTGCTTTGGACAATCCAGTATGTACCCAGCAGTACTTCCATTAGAACTCCTGAATTAGGGATTTTAGTGTCTTGAACTCTTGAAGTAGTGATTTTTAGTAAATTTTCCCTTGTTCTAGAAAAGATTCATGATTTGCTCTTAACGATGCAATTAGTTTATCAAGCCTTCTCTTATTTGTCTGTTGGCAAGGTGAAATTGGTTTGTGGTTTGGTTTTTTTTTTTTTCCTCCTGTCAGTCTTTTGTGAACCTCTTTTTCACATAAATCTTACTGACAATGAAGGATCTTTTCTCAAATATTTGCTATTTCGTTTACTCGTGATGCTTTACATCACATTTAATCAAAGGCATGATCAGTTTTGAGTTCTGTTCTCTGCGGTGGCAGGGGGGGGCATGTCGTGGGTCTCTCAGTATGCAAGGGGGGGTTGGAATAAGTAAATAATAAGAATAATACTAATAGCAGTAAAGAAGAATTTGTTTGTAATGCATTGCTGTGCTTTGGGAATATCATTGATTATTCTGAGGATCTGAAAAAAAAAAAAAAAGGCTGAGTTAGAACCTTTGTAAGGGGGAGTTAAAAACCTTTTTGGCAATCTCTGAACTCAGAAGGTGCCTGCAATAACCTGATCGTGTCCTGGGGGCACATCCTTCTCTGGAAAATCCTTCATGATTGCAAAATTTCTATAACAAAGCTGATATAAAAAACCCCGGCGCAACTAATTCCTGTGTTCCTGTTGAGCAATATCTTGAAACTCAGGTTATCCACACATTAATGGCATGAATAACAGTAGAAATGCAAAAGTATTCGTGACCTCTGCGATGAGCACACCCCAAACGTGTCTCATTACAGCTCACTGTGTTCCAGTCATTCAGGTCAATTTTAAAATTTGAAATAGGAGACACCTTTTTAGGAGCTTTTGATAGTGGGCAAAATAAATCTGAGGTGTCACCCTTGACAGTTTTATTTTCTCAGTTCCTAATCTGCAGAAATGGGTAACCGTAGATGTGAACTCCGGGGCAAGGCCAAAGGCTGGGCGTTAATCGAGCTGAAGCGGGGGGAACACAAGCAGAGACTGGGGAAACTTCTCTACCCTTAGAAACACAAGGATGCCAGTGGTTATTAATTTGGCGCTGATGATTCCAGTGGCTTGTATGCTGGAGAATGCACTACACTGTATAGACATGCATATATGTGTATATACACAATTTACCTTTTTCTTACAAAACTTGCAAGTCATTAAAATGGCATTTGTGTTCAGGTCCTCAAGAGTGGGCAGAAGCTGCAGCTTCTGTGCTTCCATTTCTGCGCATGCTTTAGATTCACCAAGATTTAGAATAAAGTGTAATTACATTAGAGGTGCTTGGAAAGTAGTTTCCAGTCATCTGAGGTGGGAAAGGGATCTGTCACTCGTTCTTGGAAACTATTCCTTAGCCCAAATCCCTGTGGACTTAAATATGACTTTTATGCACAATGATCACAGTCACTTTATTACTGAGGAATATTTTTACTCCTTTTATATTAAAATGAGAGGATTATAATTGCTCAGTGTTTACCAATAGAAATTTCAGTAAAAAATAAAATTTAAGTTTGGGTGTTGACTAAATTTTGTCTTTAAGTGCTTTTGGACTAACCCATTTGGAGGTGAAAAAATAAACCTATGTGACCCTTTGAACTTCTGAGGAGGGATCATTGTGTTGCTCCCTAAGAATATGAATGTAACAAAAAGAAAGCATCAAATATTTGAAAGGCCATGGGAGCAACTCCGTAGTTGTAATTCAAGGCACCAGAAACTACTCCAAAATTGTAATTTTAGCAGAACTTAAATATCCTTGATTATTTTATTTTTTTAATTGGGGGTGGTGGTGTTACAGTTTTTAGTGTGTGGAAGACAGAAAAAAAAGTCTACTTATACAAAAAGTTAATTGAAGTTCCAGAAGTTAAATGTACTTTCAAAATTTAGGTAAACTTCTTTATTCTTGGTCTTGATGTGCTTGATAGGCTTGAATGATTTTTACATAGGCAGACACATGGGACCCTTTTGTGCTTTTACATCTTCTATTTAGGTTAGAGCTAAAAATAGAGCTATGGACGGCCATCACAGCAGTACAGTAAACTGTAATCGTGTCTCGGGGTCTTGCTGAGTCTTTCTGTGCGGTAGCACGAGCAAAAAGTGCGTTGCACTGCCTTGCTGCTGTGCTGTGTTAGAGACAAAGGCACTAGTGGGATCGCCGAAGTAAGCGGCAGTTCACTGCGTGTTTCTGGGGTCGTGATGGGACCGTGGGTTGCTACAGTTCCTTTGTTTGCTTGTGTGGTCCATTGTGCTAGGCAAAAGGCCTGGAAGGTATTTCTACATTCAGAGTGTAGTGACCTCTCTGTGACCTGACATTCACTATTTAGGTTACATCCAAAAATAGATGCAAGCCTAGCAATGGAGACTATTTCTTGCTGAACTGTAGTAGGAGTGGAATCATTTTATGCATTTCCAGTGAAAAAACATGGATGCACTTACACTGAGACGGTGGCAGGCAACCTAGGCTCAACTGCTGCAGGCTAAGCACCAGTGGCTTACTCGCACGAGTAAAGACCAGCCATGTGAGCAAGCCCGCCCTGCATCTCGTTCTGATGAGAGCATGCCCCATAACATATCCAAATATAAGGATGAAGCACCTTCCCAATTTTTTCTTCCTGTGCTGATAATAACCTGCCTAGAACCAGCAGTCTTATGCCCACATTGTAAGAATTCAGCTGTGCAGGCAGATTTCTTGGCTACAGAAGTTACTCTTGGGGTCAGGCCAAGAAAATCCTAGAAAGAGGGATGATCAAAGAAAATTCAGCAAGGGAAACTGCTGTAGATTTTCCTCTTTCTGACCACTCCAATTACCTTTTGCAAAGGATGCAGCTCCCGTGTTCAACAAAAGAACGCCGTGTCCAGGAAAGGCTGCAAATGCCTGGGCTGAAACTTTGCTTGTCTGACGCCTGCCCTGGATTATTATTTTTAGAAGCAGTGGAAGGGAGAGCAACAGAAGGGGTAGCCTGAGGGGATGTGGAGAGTAGTGTGACTGTATCTGGAGATGCATAAGGCAAAGGCAATGATGGGCAGGGAAGGATGAGGTTGGATGGTGACCTGGGCTGAGGGAGGGCAGATGCGAGTAGTAATTCTTGCATGAAAGCACAGAATAAGAAAACACAATTTGGATCAAGTCCAGTCCTTTCCTATATCAGCCTCCGTTTAATCTTAATTCTTCAAATTCAGAGATTTAAATTTTAATTGTAAAAATACTAATTTTAATTGCAAAATTCGCTAGGTTGTGCCCATTATGCCTATTGGAAAGTTGTCTCTCTAAGGCTTTGGAATCCTGTCTTGACATCCCGTCAACAGTTATTTGCTGTGGATTTGTAGACCTTGGGTCTTGTGCCAGCAATGTCCTTTCAGTGTAAGCAGTTCTTTTCCCTCTTTGGGGCTTGCTTTCTTCACAGTTTAGAGAGCGACCACATCTTTTCTTAGGATTTGTTTGACTAAGCTAAGTCAAACAAGTCAACCTCTTCCAGTCTTTTTTCTAAGGTCACCTCTGCACTTGTCTGATCACGCTAATGTCCATTCTCTGTGTCTGTTCTGCCTTTGTGGGTATATATTTACTGCAAATACGTGACCAGAAACGTATATAATATTTCAGACAAAGGGCCTCCTACACAGGTGAACCTGCTTTAGCAGGAGGGTTGGACTAGGTGATCTCCTGTGGTCCCTTCCAGCCCTTGCCATTCTGTGATTCTGTGATACGTAGCGATAGGAATACGTCCCTGTCCAGGGGATAGGGAATACATCACCTGATGCATCTTGGGATGGCAGTTACCTTCTCCATAGTTGTACTATGTTGATTGATCAGTTGGGTAAGTATTATTGCAGAACTTCTTTGGGGTAGAGGTGGATGGGGGAAGGTTGGTTCCCAAGGTAGTGGTTGTTCTGCCTGCCTTCATCCATCTAAATGCTTGATGTTTGAACCTCAGCTGTTTAAAAAGTCATAGCCACCTGCTGAGAGCAACTCATCCTGTTAGTCTTAAACATAAGAGTTTAGACATAGTCTGGACATAGAGCTGAGACCAGATGCACAACTTTTAATTGACTGAAAGTACTTGATGTAAGTAGTACCTTATGGGAGCCTGCACTTCATGTTATTCGGTGTCATCCATTTCTGTGAGAGATGTCAAGTTATTCCTGCAGTCAGTGAGGCCATATCATTGTTTTCCTCAGCTGTTGTTAGAGTAGCCCAACCTCTCGTGTCATTGGTAAACTTTTCGGCGTCACGCTATATTGAATGTTTTACTGAAAGCAGAATAGATGAGATGAGTTTCAGTTTGTGTTTTCTTTCAAGGGAACTGAAGGCCAGTCTAGCAAATAGTTGTGCTTGATAAATCCATGAGAATTTCTCTTTCTTTTCAGTTTACCTTCATTTGTCATTTATTCCTTTCTCCAAATTTTACCCAGACAGGCAGGCTAGCGGGCTTGCGGTCACATTGGCTGGATTTTACCATTCTAAATTATTGGCACTGCAGTTGCTTTCCTCCAATCTGATCCTTCTGCTCCAGAATTGACAGGTTTATCTTAACAACCCCCCCCAAAACCCCAAACCAAACCAAACCCTCCTCAGTCCTACACTTCCATTTGTCAGTTCTTTGAGAAATCTGTGATGGAAATCAGGGACTGGGGATCTGAGGATGCTGCATTTTACTTCTGCCTTGGTGACAGCAATTTCCGTTCCCCCAGAGTAATTTGTCCCATAGTCAGCATCACACTCAGGATATTGAAAATAGACGAAAATGCAGATTTATTATTATAAGATGGGATGGTGTCTCAAGGGGACGATTAGTCCATGTATGGAAAGTTTTTGTACTATTGGTGTGTGCATCTCTGTATGCTGTCGGAGAGAGGCTGCCGGGCTTTTAGTGTGGCCTGGTATAACAGGACTTATATTTTTGGGATTACGGTTCGCTTGGTTCAGTGCAAGGAAAGGAATTCTGCTGAGAGCGTGACTTGCTGAGGACTGTTTGAAGTCACAGTTAATCAAAAGAACAGCAACAAAATCCAACCCCAGAACGGAAAAGGGAGGCAAGCAGGCAAATGGGAATTAAGATATTCAGTTGAGATTTGTAAGGCAAAGACAAGGACAGGGCAATAGCCCAAAGATTTGATGCTATCAAAGCCATTTGGAGAATAACAGCAAATTTGACAAATACAACTGGAAATTAAATATTAGAGAAAGAAAGTACATTAAGAAATAAAGAAAATGTTTGTACTCTCTAGTCTTTGACCAGTCTCTCTGAGGAAAACAAAGACATTCTTTCTTCTCCAAAGGAATGGGTTTTATATTTTGATCTGTTATTTCTCCCATCTCCCCCTGGGCTTGTTCCAGC